GTGTGCGTTCTTTTGTACATAGTCATCGAACCAAAATATCTAAAGTTGACTATTATTCAACAATTCAATAAAATAGTTCAACCAATCAATCAAATATTATATCCTTAATCTATTGAAGAATAAAGCACAGAATACTGAAGCTTACATATGCTTAATATACAAAAAACATCCTCGACGTACCATTGCGTGTAATATAAGGAGTTAAGTGTCGGCAATATGAAGGACTCGGTATTAGCATGTCCTTTTTGTGATTTCTAAAAACTAGACATTGCAAAAATATTGTTATAGTGAAACTGTATATCCGATCTTTAGAAAAGGGGAATTTATTTCAAAGTTCTAAAAAACATAAAAGAAGATCACACAAGACAAACACATTCTTTTGTGTTCTTAATACATTCCTTTGTACTTAAATACAATAATGACAAAAGTTCTTGCAATAAGGTGCAAATTTCACAGTGAACATGTTATACGCAATTCTTAAATTAAACTTGTAATTAAATTTAATTGGATCTGAATGTTAGGTAAGAGTTGCATGCTGAGAGATGTCATGTAAACATGTGTAAAGGTTATTTCCAATGTTGAAATTATGTCACTAGCTATCCATTAGTCTACATGGTTTTTGAAACAGAAAATTTACTTTTTCAAAAAGAAATCTATTATATTCGTAGTGACTCAATTAATCCATGAAGGGCTGGAATTGTATATAAGTGATTTACATAAAATTCTCTTGGAAATGCTTCACAAATAATTTCAACTCAAAAGTCTCTACAAAATTGAAAATTTTTAATATAGTTTGTCCTCCAGCATGGTGGGTATGGTGGGTATGGATGATTTAGAAGATAAGACGAGGGGCCATACACTACTGTAATGAAGTTTAATTAAAAGCTTTCATCGGTTGCCAAAATCGTAAGGAGATATCATTGAATATTCATTGTTTTAAACTGCCTCTCTATAGCTATGAGCTATCTCAGACATCTTTTTTCCAAGATGGCTCTCGCTCTGGAGATGACACTAATGTTGGCTGCAGATCATGTGATCAAGAGCAGTTTGACCACATGGTTAACTATTCAAAATGGCATCAGGAATGCAGGTTAGTAGAATGGAAAAGGAGTAAAAGTTTGATAAGAAAATTTGCTTTTCAAGGATAATAGGCTCTTTGCAGGTGGGAGCCATGCTACAACAATTAATAAGTAAATGATGGACCTTATGTCCAGAGCTTAAACTTTGTCTGATATCTATCGGCTATTTCCATTTCTCTTTTTAAGTTTGATTTCATATTTTCAAGTTGAAAATTGACGCAGTCATTGTCAATGTTGAAAATGATATCAGAATCTCTTTGCAAAACATGCAAATAAAAGACTATACACTTTTTGTATAAGTTTTATAGAAATTCCATGCACCCCTCCCCCCTCCCTGATAGAAAATGAACAGTTTCTTGAATGCTTTGAATCCAGTGTTAGAAAAGATCACATTGACAACAATGTTAACTGATTTATCATGTAATTCACATAATGTTCTTTCTGTTGGAATTATAAGCAAAAATACAAAATACAAAAATACAGTTTCATTCTCAAAATGTTTTCATTATCAAGGATACAATGCTGAACTTACACAGATTTAATAGCCGTTTGTCTTAAATATTTGTGTGTTTTTTATTTCCTTTGTAGGAGTACACCCCATAACTGCAGTCCCTCAGATCATATTTCCCTCCAGCCAGTGTTCACGAATTTATTGAGCGAGAAACTTTCTTCCCTTCTTTCTTCTTCTTGCAAGCACTTTCCTTCCATTTTTGGTTCTAAGACGAGCTAAAAATCCATGTTTTCGCTTTCTCTGTAATGTGTTAGGCTGGTATTCCATTCCAAATCTCACAGATCGACATGTTTGTAGCAAAGGAAATCGTGTTCCAAGTAAACTTGAAGCAGGGTTGTAAAAACTTGATGTTATGTTTCTCAATGTAAAAAGTCCATAAGTCTTTAAAGAACTGATACCTCTTGAGATCCAACTCATTTAAAAGCTTTTATCTGTACGATATAGTACTCGTTCTCATAAACGCAGCAAATAACTCAAAACAAAATGGTTGTCCATGTGGATAATGGCGGCATTCACGTGACCTTTGAGGAACTCACCAGGGAGGGGTAAGGCAAAAGTTAAATTCAAATTATTCAAGTAAAAAAACTTCCCTGACAATTTTCTAGATTAAAAATCGATAAGAAGATTAAATTTTCATAAATGTATCGTATAAAAGTCTTTTTTAGCCAATGGAAAATATTGATACGTTACTCTCCCCTAGCCCCACAGTTTGACTTTGTCCCTGTTCGCGGGCGCGCGCAAAGTTTGAACTTAGAGTGAAAATGCCAAAGCGAAGGACAAGAATAACACCGAAAATCCGCAAAAAGCCGAGAAAAGACATCAATTTATCAAGCCAAAGCAACTCAGCAGGCTCTGATAGTGTCGACAGCGATGATGACATCAAAGGAGAGGCTTCTGGCACGTCAAATGTCGTTAATACTGCTCAGGTATTTAATAAAATACTGTAGGACATCGTAGGACATAGTTAAGAATGTCCATGTTGTGCTATCAGATAGTGCAGTGGTGTGCATTTGACATTCTTTTCAAACTCTCAGATAGACTTGAAAAAAGCTAAATCGTCTACAAAAAGATCAAGCTCAAAAACTAGGAAAGGTAAAATATGGGGATATTGTTAAGTGACTAAAACGACTACTTAAAGCTTAATGCAAAAGCATTTCATTTTCTTGCACTTGCGTTTGCATTTTCAACGTTTGTTATTATTATTGTAGTAGCAGTGGTAGTAGTAGGAGTAGGAGTAGTTGTAGTAGAGTGCAAGTCACATAAGCATGAAACAATTCTTAACTATGTAGTGCTAAATAAGATTTAGTTATCAACTAACTAAGAATTGAGAACAATGCTACAAAGGAATTTAAATAATTGGCATTGTGTTTATGCTTTGTTGAATTCTTAGTTAGTTGATAACTAAATCTTATTTAGCAATACATATTAAGAATTGTTTCATGCTTATGTGACGTGCACTCTA